GAGTAGCTGGAATTACAGGCACGCGCTACCACTCCCGGCTGATTTTTTTATTTATGTAGAGATGAGGTCTCGCCAAGTTGCCCAGGCGGGTCTTGAACCCGCGGGCTCAGGCAATCCACTCACCTCAGCCTCCCAAAGGTGCGGGATTACAGGCTGAGCCACCGAGCCCGGCTAGTGCCCACAATCTTTGTTTACTTTCCACACAGGTACTCTGCAGTACATGGCGCCTGAGATTATCGATCAAGGACCTCGTGGATACGGTGCCCCAGCTGATATCTGGTCCTTGGGCTGTACCATCATCGAGATGGCCACCAGCAGACCTCCATTTCATGAGCTTGGCGAGCCGCAGGCAGCAATGTTCAAAGTAAGACGTGTTTGGTGATCTAGGTTGCTGATGTTGGTGGAAATATAATTAAAAACAAAATCTCCTCACAATCCAGAAAATCCATCCACAAAGGTAGGAGAGAAGAAAAACAATTTTATTATTGAATAAACATTAAACTAGAATGTAAGGTCATCACAGGCAATCCGCTGAGATTGCAAAGACAGAAAGAATTAAGATATGAATACATTTATGGTGCGGCTTCTTGAATAAATGAGAAAATGCACATGTTCAGCCTGACTAAAAATTTTAATTGTCTTTGTTTGAAATTGGAACTATTATAAACCTGATGGTGTTCAAGGATTTTCAAGTCCTTTGTACTTTGGAAATAATAAATAGGGGTCTGGGAATGTAAAATACAGGTTTTGTATTTTTAGTAAATGGTTTACATAACCAAAAAAGAAAGAAAGAAAGAAAGAAATGTCACAGCCAAACAGATGCCAGCCATTACATCCATGTTCTCAAGATAAACAATAACTAGTCCTCAGGTAACAGGACTTGACAGCACCATTTGTCGCACATAGCTCATCTTAGATTCACCTGGTAATTGGGGTGACCACTTGTATTAGCTATTTGGCTTTATCCAAAGGAAAAAAATAAATGTCTCCTATCTGTAAGACAGGAGGTAGTTTTGCAGTGGGGTACCACCAACGTTAGAAACCTGCCTTCCTATTCCCAGGGAAAGCATATTATAAAAAATTAATGAAAGACGATGCAAATAAAAATAAAACAGAAACAGGGAGATAGAGCCACTATCACCTTTGATGATTACATTTCAAAGCTCCCAGGTCCTTGTGAAAGATATTTCTGGCAAGAAGCTTTTTTAGCTGTTAAAAAGACTTGCACACATCTCAGCAACAGAGAAAGGATTTACAGAGAAAGTTCTCTAAAGTAAATGTTCTAAGAAAAGGTGGGGGGGTCCTCTTCCCTTATTTTCAACAGGGAGAATCCAATCCTTTATTTTTCATCTTTATTTGCCCTTATGCTTGGTAAGGCTCAGAGGCTATGTGGGGTCTGTGTCTTTGGAGGACAGGTTTCTGACTGAATTTTGGAAAGATTTTGAGACTTTGACTATCCAATAATATATCCTGTATCATTCTAACAACCCTCCCAGTGCTGACAAAAGGGCAGTCCATGTGTTGAGGCCAGCATAGTACAGATTGACCAATATGGGAGGAGGTTTTACTGCTGGGCAGCTGAGACCTTGGAAAGGGACGTGCTTGTTTGTGATGCCACAGGAAGCTGATGCCAGGTCAGCCCTATATGCCAAAGGTCAGGTCTGTGGCTTCTGGCTCAGTGTATACTTAGAAGCATTTAAGGAGCTCTAGCCCTAGAGGCCATTACCAGCACTGATCTTTCATGGAGAATTTATTTTTTTTTTTTTGCCATGAGAGATCAGGGTCACAAAAGGCAGAATGGCCATTGCTAATGGATAATGAGGCCACAGTGCATGGACGCAGCCTAATAGAATATGATCCCAGAGGCCTCTTCCCAGCTTCTCTGCCAAACATGGTGACTTCATGGCCTGTGTCTTTTTTTTTTTTGAGTTGGAGTCTTATTCTATCACCCAGACTGGAGAGCAGTGGCCGCTCCTGGCCACCGCAACCTCGACCTGCTGGGCTCCGGTGATCCTTCCGCCTCAGCCTTCCAAGTAGCTGGAACGACAGGCATGCACTACCACGCCCGGCTATTTATTTTATTTTATTTTATTGTAGAGATGAGGTCTCACCAAGTTGCCCAGGCGGGTCTCGAACCCATGGGCTCAGACAATCCACTCACCCTGGCCTCCCAAAGCGTGGGATTACAGGCTGAGCCACCTAGCCCGGCCTGGCCTGTGTCTTTACCAGATCCTCTGGCTTGGCCTCTTGGACAGAAAGTACTCAGAGGTATGAGTTCAGGTTTCTGCTGCTGCGGCAAGTGTGGCACATTCAATGGGCTCCTAGTGCTCTGTGCTCTCCTCAGCCTGGCCAAGCCCCTGTAGGTTCTCAGAGCTTTTCACCCTCAAATCAGCTGCTCAGGCAGCTCCAATGCCAAGACGTGACAAGTATCTTCTGACACCTATACTCCCTACAGAACCCTAAACACCAGGGCTGGAAGACAGCAATGACCTTCCTCAGCACTTTGACTATCTGTGATGGACCCAGTTGGGGCCATTGAAGAACTTATCCATGGCTTCCATCACAGGCCTTGGAATAAATAGCATCTTGTGCTGAGAAAAACATGGGATCCATCTGAGAGCCACGACTGACTGCTTTCTGATCTGCTGACTTCCTGTGAGACTCAGGAAACCCAGCTGAGGGCTGTCCCTTTCTCAATTCATCCACAGGGCATTAGTGACCCCCCTCTTGCTCTTTCTTCCCGTCTGTTTTTAGTTAGCTAATTCGTAGTACAAAGTCTTTGAACATATATTGACTTTTTTGGGTGGCATATGAAGTGAGTTTTTATTGAAATGATAACATCATTAAATAAATAACGTCCCCTGTGTTATTTACTTCTGGGATCCTAGAATTCCTCAGACAAATTTCAAGAAACTTCTGGGCAGTATCTGAAACAAAGAGAACTATTCTTCCCCCAAGGGGACAGTTATGGGTTTAATAGTGTCACCCAAAGTGATATATGAAAGTCCTAACTCCCAGGACCTCGGAATGTGACCTTGTTTGGAAATAGGGGATTTATAGAGATAATCAAGTTGAAATGGGGCCAGTAAAGTGGGCCCTAATCTGGTATGACTGGTGTTCTTATAAAATGGGGAGACTTGGACACAGATAGACATGCACAGAAAGAAGACCGTGGGACGACATGTGGAGTTGTGCCACGGAGGGCAGAGGAGTGGGGGGATGCATCTATCTACAAGTCAGGAACACCAGAGATCACCTGCAGACTACCAGCAGCTGGAAAGAGACAAGGAAGGATTCCCTACAGGTTTCAGAGGGAGCCTGGCCCAGCGAACACCTTGATCTTGGACTTACAGCCTCCAGAACTGTGAGACAATAAATGTATGTTGTTTAAACCACCCAGTTTGTGGCACTTTGTGTGGCAGCTGTAGGAAACAGGGAGCTTTTGGGGATGACCTGGCCAGGTGCCGGCTTGCTGTCCCCCATTTGCTGTCTTCTTTCTGAGAGCCAGAGGAGCAGCCACTTCTCTTCTCTTTAGGGCCTTGTTCTGAATTTTTGTTTCTGCACTTACCTCCCTCACGCTCGGGTGAGGGGTGCCCCCAAAACACACCCTGCACTGCAAATCTTGGTGGTTGGGATTCTGTCCAGCATTTAGTGTTCTCCAAATCCATAACTCTTGAGCTGTCCATCCTGGCCACAAGGAGCAAGGTATCAGAAATGGTACATGGCCACCTGGTCAAGGGTCTTGGGAATGTGAATTCGGGGGGCCCTGCCATCCTCTCTTTGCAGCACCCAGATCTCAGTGAGGTGAGGCAACCTCTAGTGGTGCCGAGAAGCTGGGAACGGGTATGCATCTGGAGGGCAGAGTGGCTTCCACCCCTGGATTGTTGGGTGGGCTTGAAAAAGACATGAGGAAGACTGTGAACCCTAAGATAACTCCTCAGAGGATTAGAGAACCACCCCTATGGGAACAATTATGCAGGAGGGGACTATGGAAGATTTATCCTGGAAACATTCCCAGGTCACAGTGAGATGTGACTGCTCAGAACAACTCTTGCTTCCCTACAGGTCACAGGGACAGAGAGCCTTTAGCAGGACAGCAGATAGCTAACCAGAAGTGGGAGCTGATGCGGAAATTCTAGCAGGAGCCCCAAGAGGAAAGGGCAGCCTCCCTCCCTCAAACAGCTGCACCCTGGGGGGGGGGGGTGCCATGGGTTTGGTTGTGAATTAGTTACTGGTCTACAAGTTAGCAGCCCCGGGGTTCTGCCTGCTTGTGGTTTAGAGCTGGCTGTTGGGAATCTGGGCTGTGGGTGCATAGAGATTGACAGGTAAGAGGAGCTTCTCTTAAGGACTCGATATCAGAGAACAGATAACAGATGCCTTTGGATATCCAGTTAGAAGATATCCTGTTCCATTCTGTCTCAATTATCTTCTGCTGTGTAGCAAATCACCCCCAAACTCTAGAGGCATGAAACAGTGACTTTTTATTTCAGTTCTGTCGTTTGACTGTTGACTTTTCCCTGGTCTTGTCTGGGCTCACGCATGTGGTTGCAGCCAGGTGGAGGCTTGGCTGGGGCAAGATCGCCTGAGAAGGCCTTTCCTGTATGGCTGTGGTTACAGCTGGGATGGCTGGGGAGATCTCTCCACGTGGTGGTGCTTCCTGGGCTTCCTCCTTGCACCATGGTCTCTGGGCTCCAGAGGACTAGAGCAGGCGCTACAAGGTCTCAGCTTTGAAACTCTCACAGGGCCACTTCTGCCACAATTTGTGGGTCAAGGCTAAGTCACAAGAGGCCAGCCAAGATTCCGGGGGGGGGAGACATAGACTTCACCTCTGGGAGGGAGGAGCAGGAACATAACACTGCAAAGGGATGTGAACAGAGGTGAGAATCCCAGGGGCTGTGTCACACTCCATCTCGGCTCCCCATGGGACAGCAGGTGTACAGGAGCTTTGTTTTGAAGACATGGACACCTGAATTCAGCGGAGACCTCACTGATGCATTGGTTACCTCTCTCTTAAATGCAGGTAGGGATGTTTAAGATCCACCCTGAGATCCCAGAAGCCCTTTCAGCTGAAGCCAGAGCCTTCATTTTATCCTGTTTTGAGCCTGACCCTCACAAACGTGTCACTGCCATTGACCTACTCAGAGAGGGTTTCTTAAGACATGTGAACAAGGGCAAGAAGAACCGAATTGCCTTCAAGCCCCCAGGTGAGGCCTACCTGGATTGCTGGGGTGGCACCCTGGCTAGGCAAATGCCTGGGCCTTGGGCTTCTCTGTTGTTCCCAAACATTGAGCTGCCTACGTGCCCATTTGTGTGAAGAGTGGCACAGATTGTGCAATAGGTTTGGAGGTTGTCAGAACCCAACCAATAAATGTTTTTCCATTTCCTGACGGAGGCACAGCGAGCCTCGTGGGTGACTGTGATGCCCGCCTCTTGCTAAAGTCTTTCCTTTTAGATAGGGTAGAGGGGGGAGGTGAGACGTGCCCTGCTTGGGATTTTGTGTCTTCCCCACATGCGGAGCCTGGTGTTTTATTTTTGGAGGCTTACCAGCCATCCAGTGAACTGATCTCGATTAAAGGGTGTGTTAGGGAGGTTTGCGAGGTGGTTACCCTGTGGTCCACTGAAGCTCATTGACACCTTGTGGGGAAGTGAGTCCTAACTGGCAATGACACAGAGTACCCTCTGAAAAGAAAGCCATTTGTCCTCTTTTCTCTGGTGCAGACCAGAGTCAGAAGCAATGGCAGAGTGGCTCAACAACTTGCTCCACAGACCATGACCCACCACCTGCACCTGAGGAGAAATGCAGTGTCTGTGGCCCATCCCAGGCCTTATTTCCCCATGTCCCGGGTGATGGTTTGCACCACCCAGTTAGAGCAGTGCAGGTACAGCAAGCCCCTGGGTGGGTTGCCGAGGTCTGAGGGGCTGCCAGGTGCTCAGTCCTCCACCTTGGCCTCTCTGGTCCTCCCCTTCTCTGTCTGCCCCCCACAGAGAGTTCCCGGGGCACTGTCCTGGCCCTGCCTGTGCCAGGGGAACCCATGTGCAGCAGCAGCAGCGAGCATGGCTCCATCTCCCCAGACTCAGACGCCCAGTCCGACACGTTCTTTGAGAAGGCCCGGACACCCAGGCACCAGCTCACCCACCTTCTCAGGTACACCATGTCCTGTCCCCATGCTGCAGGCATGCAAGAAGTGCTGACATTCCTCAGCCACAGGACACCTCCTGGGTCACAACCAGGAGGCTGCCAAGGGCTTTGGCTTCCTTTCTGTCGGGCAGTAGGGAGGCCAAGTGTCCCTATCCCAGCAAGGAGGGCGTGCTGTCCCTTCCCCCTCCTTTCCCTAGTCTTCCCCTCCCCCTTCTTCCCTCTTCCCTTCTTTCTCCCTTCCTCCTCCCCACTTCTGCTTCTTTCCTCATCCCCTCACCCTTCCCTCCTTGTCCCCTTCCTTCCTGTTCCCCCTTACTCTCCTCCTTCCCTCCCTCACCCCTCCCTCACCTCTCCCTTCTGCTTGTGCCCCTTTTCCTTCCCTCCTTCTCCCCATCTGGGGAGTAAGCTCTTTTACTCCCCTTTTTGCTCTCCTCCCCACCAGGCAGGTGTTATGGGGGTTAGACAAAACACTGCACCTCTGTTTTTGCTCCTGCAATTTCCTCTCCTTGAGCATGGGGACTGCACCGCAGTCACCTCTTAGCCCCTCCCCCATGGCATCCTAATGCAGTATATTCCTTGGAGATAGTGTTCCGGGACACACGGGGATTGTCACATGTGTTTGTCTGCAGTGTTCCGGATGAGAGCTCTGCCTCGGAAGATCGGAGCTCAGCCTCTTCCCCGGAGGACAGGGACTCAGGCCTCTTCCTGCTGCGCAAGGACAGCGAACGCCGTGCCATCCTGTACAAAATCCTCTGGGAGGAGCAGAACCAGGTGGCTTCCAACCTGCAGGAGTGCGTGGTCCAGGTACAGGTCTGAGGAAGGGTGCCTGCTTGTCCTGCCTCCCTTGCCCGGTCCAGAGCCCATAGACAAGTCCTAACAGGGACCTCTGCTCCTGCCACCCTGAAACATCTACATAGTGAGAATGATCACCATAAGTATTTCCCAACATCCTTCCCCTCCCCAACAAAACAAAAGAAAATACAAAGAAACAAGAATTTGCAGACAGTGCGGTGATTTCAGGCATTTGTGTGGCTATGCTGCCTCCTGGTGGAAAATCAGCCCGATGGCAGCAGAAAGCCCCTTAGAGCCAAGTTAACCTCTCAGCCATAGGCAGAGCTGCCCTCAGAAGCTGTGAGAACAGCCACTTTAGGGAGAGTGGACATGGATGGAGACATATGAGTTGTAATTAGGACACAGTACTGGCAAACCGAGTTTCCTCCCTTATTTGAAATGGGAAAGTTCCTTTTAGGAAGAGGCCCCACTTTGAACTGTGCCTTCTAACGAGGCTTGTTGATGGCAGACCTCGCAAAGAGTTAATTGGGAAGGTGAAACCATTCACCGAGGGACTACTTGTGAGGGTGTGTGCCCACCAGGGAGCAGGGACCAGAACACTTTGACAGGAAAGACGGAGGGAATTCCGGGAACAGAGACACCTTCTCATCTGGGGATGTTTCATCAGCAAATGGATAGTCGTTTCCCACAATACGTTCTGAATTTTCTTTCTCTTTGACACACTGGATGAAAATGATATATGTATGTGTGTGTGTGTGTGGTCAGAGTTCAGAAGAGCTGCATCTCTCAGTTGTCCACATCAAGCAAATCATTGGGATCCTGAGGGACTTCATCCGCTCCCCAGAGCATAGGGTGATGGCATCCACCATATCACGGCTAAAAGTGGACCTGGACTTCGACATCTCATCCATCAATCAGATTCACCTGGTACTGTTTGGATTTCAGGATGCTGTAAGTGTTCCATCTGGCCCTAGAGAACATTCCAGACTGTGAAATTCAATTACCATCTTTTCCCATAGCCCCTCTCTTCTCACCTGTTTATACCCGAGTCCTGCGTTTCAGCGCTCCTCCTAACCCCTGGCAGCATGGGCACAGGAAGCGTTATCTGGGAGAATGGCAGACTGCATTTGTCCCCCAAAAGCACGAGTATGGGATTTGGGAACACGTGGCATCTGCCAGCCAGTAGGTGTGGGGTTTAAGTGTGTGTGTCTCCCCATATGTGAGTTCCTCCAGGCCCAAGGCCATATCTGGTTCATCTTCATGTCCCAAACCACCAGTGCAGAGCCTGCCATTGCATAGGTGCTCAGTAAATGCTCATCGAATAAGCAATGAAGAGGCCAGTGAGGTTGATCCAGTCGCTATTCCCACCTTCTAGACCCCAGCATGGCTTAAGATCAGCTTAGAGTAAGACTGAGTTCAGAAGAAACATGAATTGCGTAGAAATCTAGGGGCAGCATGGTTAATACTTTATTTCAGCCAGACTAGAAGCAAATTAGAATTAGTAAGAACTCATATGTCTTTAAAGTACAATGAACAGGAAATATGTCGTTTTGTGATTTCTTTTTCAGGTAAATAAAATTTTGAGAAACCACTTAATTAGGCCCCACTGGATGTTTGCCATGGACAACATCATTCGCCGAGCGGTACAGGCCGCAGTCACCATTCTTATCCCAGGTAAGTGCTCCCTTTGCAGTCAAGGTCAGCATCAGGCTATGGAAAAGACAAGCAATGTATGTCCTCTGCATTCAACGGTTGTTGATTTCTCTTTTCCATTTTGGTTATATATCTCCTTGCAATTAAGTGAATGCTGAGTTTGACCCCTTCTGGGGCTTAGATTTTATGATTCTAAGAACATTTCATGGCGCTGTATTTACGTGTGCCCTAGGCATGACGAAGATTACTGCATGTAGACTAAACTCATGAGCTAAAAGGGAATGTTGCTGAGCATGGTGGCTCACGCCACCCAGCACTTTGGGAGGCCGAGGCAGAAGAATCACCTGAGCCCAGGAAGTCGAGGCTGCAGTGAGCTGTGATCGTGCCACTGCACTCCAGCCTGGGTGACAAAGTGAGATGTCGACTTGAAAATAAAAATAAATAAAAAATAAAAAGGGAGTGTGGTGCCGGAGAGCAAGGACCTTCCAATTCTCTGGCACCCACCTCAGTGCACGGACTTGGGAATGCTCACTGGGTCATTGCTAATGTAATGACTTGGTTTCCTCTCTTAGAATCATCACAGAAATCATTGGCTTTTGTAAACTTCCTTTTTGAAATGTTAATTACTTAACAGCTTAATATCAGAGTGGAGAGGCTTTAAAGCATTCTGTTGCCATCGCCATGTCCTTTGGTCCCTTGCTGCCCCCTCTCCTCAATGTGCTCTAGCTGAGGCTCTGCTGCAGGGGAGGCCTGGGAAACCATAGTACGTAATTCCTCTCCCACTCCAAGCAGGTACCTTCTGGTAGGAAAAAGGCACTGGCCTGGTGGCAAACCTGGCTGTATTTTTTTAAAGCTGTCCTTGGCTAACTTATTATCTCAAACCCTCCATTTCTTCATCTAGAACTGGGGGTGACCATCTTCACATTGCAGAGAACCAAATGAAATAGCCTACTCTTTGTTTGTAAAGTCAGCAGCCTCTGATAGAGCTGCATTGGCCGGGCCAGGCTCCTGGAACTGCCTGGTTTGCTGGCCCGGGATGCCCGTTACCCAAGCCTCGGCCCTGTGCAGATGCATTTTCGCTAACCAGTCATTTCTTCTGGGATTTTGCAGAGCTCCAAGCCCACTTTGAGCCTGCCTCTGAGATCGAAGGGGTAGATAAGGACATGGATGGAGTGGAAGAGGACTGTCCTCCAGCAGACCTGCCTGGCAGCGAGGCGCATGACCCATATGGAGGGAACAAACCTGGTTCGGTGGTCATACAGGAGACTCCGTCCCACCAGCTCCATCAGCAGCACCTGAGCCTCCAGCTGGGCAAGCTCAGGCAGGAGACCAACAGGTGAGGAACTTCCAGGCCCTTCGCCTGTAGCAGGCATGGAAAAATGATCTGAACCAACAAGATAATTGGTTTGGTTGAGTGCCTCATCCAAGTCTCAGAAAAAAGCATCTTTGCCATCAGTGAACTGGGCGAGTATCCTCAGCTTTAACGGAGGGCCTGGAGGAATGCCTTCCTTTTTTTTCTTTTTCTTTTTAAATAGTAAGAATCAAAGAGGTACAGTGCCTTGCCCCAGGCCACACAGAAATTAGCCATGCTAAAGGCAGCAGCATCTCTGAGTTATTTCCGTCTCTTCACCAAGACTGGGCTCTGGGCCCCTGCAGAACAGAGTTTGGGGATCAATTAGCACTTCCTCATGAATGTTTATCCCATAACCCCAGCCCTGAGGAAGATTGCCCTATGACCCCTAGGCAGGCATTAGTGAACTGACTTCCCAACCAGGGGACCCTGGCACCATCATAACGATCCTTCAAGTGCACTGGTCTGTCTTGTTCACTTCCTGGCACGATAAATAATTTTTCCCCATTTGCTCTGGAGAATCACATTACCATTTGGTTTTTTAAAAATGTAATTCAAGCCGGGCTTGATGGCTCAGCCTGTAATCCCATACTTTGGGAGGCTGAGGTAAGTGAATTGCCTGAGCCCACGGGTTCGAGACCTGCCTGGGCAACTTGGCGAGACCTCATCTCTACAATAAATAAAAAAAAAATTAGCTAGGCTTGGTAGCGCGTGCCTGTAGTTCCAGCTGAGGTGGAAGGATGGCTGGAGCCCAGCAGGTCGAGGCTGCGGTGGCTGGGAGCTGCCACTGCACTCCAGACTGGGCAACGGAGTGAGACTCCAACTCAAAAAAAATTAGCCGGGTGTGGTAGCGCACGCCTGTAGTTCCAGCTACTTGGAAGGCTGAGGTGGAAGGATCACCAGAGCCCAGCAGGTCGAGGCTGCAGTGGCCAGGGGTGTGCCCTGCACTCCAGTCTGGGTGACGAAGTGAGACTCCAACTCAAAGAATAAAATAAGATAAAAAAAAATGTAATCCACAGCTATAGCAACCTAGTTGGTCCTTGTTGCAGATGACACTGTGTAGCCATGTGATCACTGGTAATGCTGATTACTACTTCACATGGGGAGATAAGGTACTGAGTACATATTTTAGATGAAAAGTTGTATACGCTCCCAGGGGTCTCTCAAGTTCAACCTTAGAATGTTAGACAGATCTAATCCTTTTTTTAAAAAGACTTAGAGTTTTAGTTAAATGGTAGTGGTGGCAAAACTTTGAAAGTTTTAAAAATATGACAAATACGAAAGTTGGTAGTAGTACTTAGCATTTCCTAAATTTTTTTCCCCAGAAGATTTATTAACACCCAGTTCATACAGTTGTTATACGTGGGTTCAAAGGTTACTCCTCTCCACCATTCATAGTCATTGTTATTTTCTCGTCTCAGTGGAATGAGGAATTGGTTAAACAGCAGCCAGCACATAATACAGATGGCACTGACACCAAGCTGTATGTTCCTGCAGAGGCTGCCTGGCCTTGTGGTGTGAGATGCCTTGGCTATGAAAAGAGGCACAGCCTATAGGACAGAATGATGTGACTGAGGGTAACTGTTCTGTTCCGATGAATGATGGTCCTGAGGGCCCTTTCCACCGTATGTGTACAGACACCAGCTGGAATGGTCTCCTTCACTAGTGGACTTCTTGAGAGACAAGGACAAAGGAAGGCAGGGTAGGGTTGGAAGAGGGTGTTTATTTGTTGAATGCCAGTATTTCCTCTTTGCTGTCCCACTGGGACAGAAGCGTTCACTTCTCCCCACCCCATTTTGCCACCAAATAACCCAGGAGTACCTTTGTTCTCTTCAGTTTACTGTTGCAGTGACTTCTCAGGACAACTTCAATCATTAACGTCAGTAATTTAAATAAAGCTTAGTTCTGGATTCCCAAATTCACCAGCATGGATCACATAAATAAAAGGAGCATGTGGTAAAAAACAAATCCTGTGTACTGAGCATGTGAGCAAACAAGTACTAGGTACTTGGGCCCCTGGAGGTTCGCTGAAAAATCATTAACATAGCTGGGCTCGGTGGCTCAGCCTGTAATCCCGCGCCTTTGGGAGGCTGAGGTGA